GTCTCTTATACACATCTAGATGTGTATAAGAGACAGGAAGAAGAAGAAGAAGAAGAAGAAGGGAGCCCCAGTAAGGAACAGGTCAGGGGATCAAGCACTCGACTAAATCAGAACCTTCAAGAAATCATAGCAGCTATCCCACAAGAATGGGTCCCAATACTAAAAACAGACAGACAGTGGACCACAGGAGACTGGGCAGTAATATTAAACGAACCTCAACACAAACACGCACTAGCATATTGGGGAAGAGAACAAGATAAACAAGACTGGTACATATTTACTATGCACGAAATAGATGAACCAGATTCGGACCACAGCAAGATCAGCAAAAACTCGACAGCACAAGTCTCTGTCCGAGTGGATAATCTAAGAAAAATAAGAGTAATAGAAAATGAAGTTCGAACCATATACCACCCCCAGACCCCTCTAGAGAATCTAGAAGTAGACCCAACAGAATGGGCATGGAACCTAAAGCAAGGAACTTTAGGAATCAATACCAGATTCAACTTACTACAATACACAACCAGGTTAGGATACAGACTGAGACACCGCTCTACCAACCCAAACCCTATAATAGCAGAACGCTGGAAACGACACCTAGAGGTAGAAACAGAAACTTTTGACCCTATACCATGGAACTCAATAGCCTCTATTCACCCGCCCAAATTCAGAAGCCTACAATGGTTAATTATTTACCTAGCAGTCCTTCTGAACCAATGGCTAAATGTTAGAAGGAAAAAGGAAGACAGATTCTGAAGCCCACTGAAAGAAGAACTATGTGCTAACTGCAACAACGGACAAATAGAAAACTTATATCACTGTTTCCTCCTATGTCCCAGAATAAAACCACTATGGCGAAAAGCAGCAAGCACATGGAACACAGTAATAGGCACAACTCTCACAAGCAACCGCACACTCCTACTACTAGGATTCAACAGTCCAGAAGACTGGAGCCCACTAGAATCCACCTTCTTCAGAATACTTAGAAAAGCCACACTATGGGCTATATGGAGGAAAAGATGTCAAGAAACTATAGAAAAACAAAACGTGCATACCCAAGAAGCATGGGGACTACTCCAGCAACAAGTAGAAACTGAATACTGGGTTCTATGGCGCAAAGTAAGAAGGAGAATGAAGGAAGACGAAGACAACGCCAAGGAACACCAACAGAATTTCAAAGAGAACTATCTACCCAAGGGCAAAATCGCACTCATCTGAGGCTCAAGTATAGTCTTCCGGTTATGGGACGAAACCTCACCAATTCAACACTCGCAAGACCACTCAGTAAACAGTATCCCCAAATCCCTGGAAGTCAACATGCAATCAGACTAATCTATTAAAGAGCTCTTAACAGATATTGACCAAATAGCCCAGCTCCTAGATTAAGTCAACAAAAGTCCTTAGCAGGTAGAGACAGGTACTTACAAATCATGACAGAAGACTCGAGACTAACACAGACCCAGGACAACCAAGGCCAAAGGTAATAGCTAGAACAGCTTCAAACAGCCTCAATATTGGAAGGGATAGACAAGAGAGGAGGACAACCGGTATGTAAATTAGCAAGCAAGCTAGCAAGCAGACACGCATAGGAACGAAGAGAAAGGCTAGATAGTTACAAAGGCTCCAACAAGGTATTACAGCAGGACAGCAGAGTGTAGAGGCGCATAAAATCCGGGCAAAGGACCCGAGCAACAGTTCTAGCAATCAAGGAAATTCTGACAGCCGAAGAGCTGAGAGGAACCTGTTAGACAAGGTCCAAATAGACAAACTGCAAACCAGAAGGCTAGTCTTAGAGCTGAAACCGCATTAGAACAGGCTAACTTAGGCAGGGGTAAAGGGTGGTACATCCCTCCTCCGGGAGGTAATCAATGCCGTCCTTTGGACCTCCACACCCTAAGGGTGAGGAGCGTAAGTGAGTTATCCGTGTAACCTTTTTTAACTTGCCGGTGGAAGAGGAACCGGACTGATGCTCCCCAGAATGGAAAAGGAGCCAGAACCCTAAGGTTCTGTTTAAAATTAAAAAAAAAAACAATAATAATAAAAAAAATAAAAAAGGTCAGGGGATCAAGCCCAGTAGCACCCAAAATATTGCAAAACTAGTCTACTTGGTTATACAGCCCGTTGGGAATCTGCAGTTTATTTCACCACGCAGGGAAGCACAAGGCAACACCAACAAGGCAGCCACGCTACACGGCACACATGCACGGAATGCGGACAGCGCGGCATTCGAGTGGGCAACAAGGCAGCAGCGCACCACAACCACACCACACAGCGAACACAGCAGCCAGCAAAGAGCGACACGCAAGGCAAGTGGGACAGGCAGCAAGGCAGCAACGGAGCGCAGACAAGGCAGTCCACACGTCCAACATGGATCAAAGCAGCACATCACCTACTCACATCATGAGCGAACCCCGCAGACTGCCGATTCCCACCACCAGCAGAAACAGATAATCACTCAGACGAACATCCGCCATCACCCACAGGCAACACAGACATCCCGAACTGAGCAGCCACCCTAAGAGTGTTGCAGGCACTCCAAACAAGAAGTGACCGATTGTTTGGCACTGCTTAAAAGGTGGTCACTAGACGGGCAAAAAGTACTTCGAAAAATTGAAGGAAGAAAGACATAGAGAACACAGATAAAGACAAACATGAAACTGATTGAGTGCATGTGTGTGTGTGTGTGT